TGTGTGTGTGTGTGTGTGTGTCTGGTGAATTTTTGGTGAAAACAAGCTTGTTCTTCATACAGTGACGTTACTCAGTGGGTAGAGAATCCAGAAATTTTACTCAAGTCAGAGTAGCGATACTTCCTTATAAAACTAAAGTAAAAGTAAGATGTACAGCATAGTAAAAGTACTCCTAAAAGTACCTTTTTTTTAACCTAACTCTGGACCTAGATCATTACATGTCAGATTGGAGAGTTAAATTAGATGTTTGCTCCAAAGCAATGGTTGCCAAACRTTTTGTAGTTGTACCTGGCCTGAAGCTCCAGAGCCCTCTCCTTGCCCGACACCTGGAAGGTATGAGGGTAGTCGTCATTGGTTGTTTCCTGGACYTTCAGGCCGTCGATCCCAATCCGCGTCCTCACGGTGTACTTGGGTCCTCCCAGGCTGAACTTAGGCACGCAGTATAACAGCATGTTGTTGAACTGATAGAGAGAAAAGAAGTTGAGCTACAAGAACAGAAAAACCAGCAGCAACATCAGGAGTTAAATATCTGTCTGAGCTGAAGGGTGAAGTTTTAAACTCTGCAGGTTACTTGAATGATTCACCTGGGACACATTCAAGCAGCTAATAAGAACCAACCTGAACATCATCATATCAGATCAGTAATTTGTCTTCATGTGCCCTGTGTTTCCTCACACAGGGGTGTTCAAACCATTCACTTGTTTCAATAGACTGATGCATATTTCCCTGYAGTGCTCTTCATTAAGTTTTCTCACCAGGAAGAGGTATCGCTCCATGGCTGAGGCGTTTCTGGCTGCCAACTTCAGGATCTGTCCCTCTTTGATGAACTCATTCGAAGGGTGAACGATGTCCTCCTCTTCACCCAGCATCTCGTAGATCTCCATCAGCTTCTTCAAGTTTTCCTAAACAATTAAAAGTTAAGGTTTTTTTTAATCAAATGGAGTCGGGGAGAGTCTGCAGCAGACTTTAGGAATCAGAAATTTACTTACAGATTTCCTAATGGCACTGTTGGAATGAGTAGCTGCTGTAGCAATAATTTCCAACGATTCTGCAAAAAAATATTTACAGTTAAACAAATATATATATATATATATATATATGAAAACAAGAAACTCCAGCTTTGCTGAGAAGTTTATTGTTATTTACTTTCTGCATCTCTACGGTCAGGGTCGTCCTGAGGCAGCTTCTTCAGGTAGTCTTTGAGCAGCATCTCGTATCGAGGGATTCTCTGCACCGGCTCCAACATGTGATGCTGAAGAGTCAGACTGCCACAGATCTCTTGGCTCTGCCCAGATGGAAACAAAAATATGAATAAATACCTCTCTGAACCACAATAAAGAYATCTGTTCACCAAAGCAGCCTAGTTCGCAGATTGTACCTGAATCTCTTGAATTATGGCCTTAAACTGGGGAGAACGGTCAATCCACTGTTTCAGAACCTCCATGGCCTTGTCGAAGTTCTTCACATATTCAGCGTACATTTTAAGGAAGGGTGTGAGTTTCTGCAGAATGTCCCCAATCCGAGGCGTGGACGTCCTGTGGAGAAGAGACAAAAAGGATTCATTACTGTATAAGTTTAACTTTAAAGTGCCCGTGACATGAATATTCTTCAAATACAAAAAGTCAAAGAAAACATCTTTATATTTACGAAAGTTGGAATAACACACGATTTATTTGTCCCACAACTGACATGTTTTTTTTTTTAACTTGGCTCAGCCAAAGTGAAACAGGAAGCGACGTCAAAGGGGAACTCTTTAACAAAAAAAACTCTCTGGTCTTTATTTATTGAAACAATGGGCCTCATGCAAGAACATGTTCGTATTCTTATCCTAAATTTCTCTTAATTTTGTTCATACAAAGGGTTCGTACGAACATGTCACGTCAGATTCAACAAACTCTTCTATCTTCAGGAAAAGTGTGTAAATGAGCTGCGTTAATTACACCTGTTCGTATCCAGCTGCTCGTGCACGCCAGAGGAGATTAGCATAATTACCACCCCAAAAACACCATATAAGGCTATGTTTCCTGCCTCAGATATCAGGAAGTGTTCTTTCATGAAAATGACAGAGAAAACTAAAAAGAAAACTTTACGAGTTCAGAGATTGAAGTCCGTCTGTCAGAGATCCAGAAAATAAAATCTGTCATTTTTAGCAGGTCAGCTGTGGAATAAAAAGAGCTGCTAAAAGTATAAACAACTGTGTTAAATCATTTTCATTTATTCAGAAGCCGCAGCGCTGCGCACCGTGCAGGAAATATCTTCAAACTAACGAAATATAAAGTTATTAATGAAGAAAACCCATCTGGATAACAGCAGACTGACTACTCGTAAAATATACAACAGGTCTGGACCACTCATGAATTTTGTTCGTATCTGAAAAAAATCTTAGAAAACGAAAACATTGGTGAATGCCACAAATTCTCCTAAATCACTCGTACGCACATTTTAAGAACAAATCTGTGCGTACAAACGGTTCTTGCATGAGGCCCATTATTATTTGAACTCTGATGCTTCTTCATCTCTCTGATAAAGATTCAAAATAATCTTAAGAAACATCAGATTCTTCTCTACAGTCTGGGTTGTTGGCTGTTGTAGCAACGCTCTGTTTACATTCAGACATTCCCCTTTGACTTCACTTCCTGTTACTTCACGGGCAAATATCTCAACAACTGTTCATCTCAACGACATGAAATTTCTTTTGCAATGTTTTATCAATATCATCTTTCTAAAAATGCATTCATWTGTATTACAAACATTTGATGTCACAKGCACTTTAASAYTTTTTTTATTTAAAGATCTATTTGTTTGCCTTTTCCTTGTAAAGGGGCTTTGTTCACACTACAAAAATWGTTCATCTCAACTATATTTGTAACAACAGCATTCCGCAAAAAGTCCTATTCTTTTTGATTTCACTTCTTTGAAGACCCCCTATAAAACATTTCCTGACCCAAACGTAGAAGCGGAGCTCACCATTCTCCCATGCGTTTCTCCAGATCCGGAAGCAGAAACTGGCTGTGGAAGGCATAGATGGAGGCGATGTTGGAGAAGATGTTCTTCACCACGTCCACCGGGAACGTTCCTCTGCCAGCCTCCTCCATTAGCTTGGCGCTGAATACCTAACGAGCCATAAATACTTTGGATAAATGAAGACTTTTGTACTGYGAGGTGTAAATCATAGTTAGAAACCAGAAGTGAGATGTGGTTTTCTCCGACTTCCTTACCTGATCCAGCAGGTGAAGTCGCGCTACGTAGGCCTTCTCGGTGTGCAGGAGCTCACTGGCAATTTTAAACAACTTCTGTTCATTTGTCTCCTGAAAATAATAATAATAATAAAAATAACTTTATTTGTAAAGCGCTGGACAAGAGATGAAAGATGACAAAAGGCGAAGTCATGAAATAAAAAATAAAATCACAAAGAACAAGCAAAAACAGAAAAGAGATTAAATCACAGGAGAGGGCAAGGCAATGATAATAAAAACAAAGGATAAAATTAAGACAAGTAAAATAATTTAAACAGATGCATCTTTAGCTTAGCTTTAAAAACCTCAACAGAACAAGCCTGCCTGATGTCCTGAGGGAGATTGTGCCACAGAAAGGGGGCACGAAAAGAGAAGGCACGTTCACCAATGGTCTTTCTTCTGGCTTTTGGGATTATTAATAGGCCAGTACCTTCAGATCTGAGAGAGCGTGGAGGAACAAAGTAGTGTAAGAGGCTGGTAAGATGCGGAGGCGCCAGACCATTTAAAGCCTTATAAGTGGGCAATAACACCTTAAAATCAGCCCGAATTTGACAGGGCAAACAATGAAGGGATAACAGTACAGGAGTGATGTGGTCGAATTTCTTGGAATGAGTTAAARTACAGGCAGCTGCATTCTGGAGCATCTGCAGACATCTAAAACTTTTCTTGGGTAGTCCGGAAAGGAGGGAATTGCAATAATCGATGYGTGAGGTCACAAAAGTGTGGATAAGGACGTCAGCACCATCAAAAGAAAGGATGTGCCGGAATTTTGGTGATGTTCCTGAGGTGGTAGAAGGTAATCCTAGTTACTTCCTTTAAGTGGAAATCAAAAGAAAGCTCAGGATTAAACCACATGCCTAGGTTTCTAACTTTTTCTTGACATCTAATGATCTGATTATCAATTTGCAGGGTAAAAGCTTGAGACAAGCCATGGAACTTCTTAGGTCCAGTGATGAGTAAGTCAGTCTTATCAACGTTAAGAAGCAGGAAATTGTTAGATAACCAACCCCTAATAGCTGACAGACAGGCCTCCAATTTAGGCAAATTGACATAGTTTCCAACTGTGAAGGGCATGTACAGCTGTAAATCGTCAGCATAGTGGAAAGTAACATTAAATGAATGCAGGAGAAAACCAAGGGGCAAAAGATAAAGTGAAAAGAGTAGGGGGCCCAGCACGGATCCCTGAGGGACCTCATGCTTCACAGCGCAGGTATAAATAAATAAATAAATAAATAAATAAATAAATAAATATAAATTAGGTAGATATAGATTTAAAATGATAACTTGGATTGTTACTAGCTCTGCATTCATTGCACTGACTTGATCAATCAGCTTTGCGCCGCCTCTGTCGGTTGAGGTCATTTGTATGGCAAGCCCTTTGGGCATTTATTTGGTATTCTTGATATTAAACATGCTTTTGCCCATTTGTTCATGACTAGATTGCACAAGATGCACATTTGTTTGCACTAGTTCAATATCTTGGTTCACTTGGGAACATTTTGGTAGGCCATGTCGCTGCGCCCGTAGCCCCAACTGACGTGAGTGTTACYGACACTGAGCTGAGAGTGGGCCGTTCTATTGTGTCGTGGAGGCTCTCAAAACAGGAAATGAAATTATGGAATAAAGGAAACAACACTACATAAAAACAAGAACACGACTCGAAAAATAAAGCTTAAGTGAGTCAGAGACCAAAGAGGCGATAAAAACATCAAGATGCAGCACCACTACAAGGTTTTCTAAGCATGTCGACTGTTAAAGTGGACTATTTCATGCTTTGTAAAGCAATGAAGCATCATCTTCCTCATAAATGCTGGCGTGTGTGACCTGAGAGCAAGCAGCCTCCTGCTTCCTCATACAGGCACAAAGTTAGTAATTATTTAGTTAAGACATTTTTTAAAGATCGATCTTTACTTTTTAAAGCATTTCTGAATATTAGACATGCAGCTCAGCCAAACACCAAGAAGAAACTGCAAACTTCTGTATCTTTGCTCGAGGGTTTCTATTGTAAGCTACACAGTTATCCTCCATTTTGAAAGTAGCTTTGTTAACTCCTCCAACACGATTTATCAATTTGTTATTAGAGAATAAACCTTTTCAGTGGTTTTCTACCTTTAAATAATTTATAATAATAATAATAATTAATTGTGATTTCTCATATGCCATGATCAGGGTGCATTTCAGAGTCGATTTCAACAATTGTTTCTTCACTCGCTGTTTGCAAAATCTCAGCTTTAAATTGTGCCTCGGCCAACAGGGCTTCAGGTTTGTGTTTAATGAGGGAAAGCAAATCGCCCAACRCCGTTCATGTCAGAGTCGCAAACAAAAACCATTTTAAGATGCGATGCAGAGTTACAGCTGTTTTGGTCAAGTTTAAACAATGTTATCAACAATCTCATCTGATAGCATGAGATCTTGTGACGTTAGCCCTTGATGTTTGAGTCATGAATCACTCAGTTACTGCATCAAATTTTAGCTGAATATCTGTAAAACTGGCTGAGGTTTAGACGTTACTTTTCTAAGGTCAGTCGTCGGCTGCGTCGGCCATCTTGGATTGAATGGTTGTTGTCGCTCACGTCACCGCGCCGCGCCGTAACACACAGGCTGCGTCTAAGTATCCTCTGCAGCCAACGACTGAGGATTCATTGCGCCGTCAAAAAAGCTAAACAGTAAAAAAAAAAAAAAAAAAACCGAGATGGCGGCGATTTTTAAAAATAGGTGTGGAAATTCATCATGGACCAAATAATTTGTTTTTTAAATATGTGTTTAGCAACTTAGCTGTTGAGATTTATGCTGCAAGGAGACGTTACATAAAATGCTAATACAAGTACGGATATTGGAGCTAAGGTTTAGAGTACAGGTTTACAGTAACTAACTACATTTACTTCGTTACAATACTTATGTAGTTTTTTTTGAGGATTTGTAATTTTAACAATAATTTTTGAATAGCTACATTTACTTTTATTTTGTTACATTTTAAAGCTAAAAATGATACTTTTACTTCTTTAAAATGTAACAAACACCTAGTTACTCGTTACAAATTTAAATATGTTTGAACTCATCATGAAAGAAGGTGTTTCTGCACTCTAAAAAATGAAGTGTTGAATTTACTCAACAAAGTCATGTCAACTGGTTCCACTAAGCCTAGYTGAGTAAACWGAGCAAAGAATATACAWATAYTGTTCAATTTACTCAACCTGGTTTAGTGGAACCTGTTTGGTTCAATAAATTTAACAGTTTATTTCTTGTGGAGTGTGTCAAAGTACTTTTATTTTTACTTATCAGTGAAATTTATTTTTACCAAAGTCATTTTCTGTTCATGTAATTTTACTTTTACTTAGTTATTTATTTCAAGTACTTTATAAACCTCTGGTAACCAGACAGAGCATTGTCACGCAAATATACATCAACTGAAAACTAGACTGTCTCATTTCTCAGCCGTTTTATGCAGCCTACATGGACGGCCACTGCTAATATATTCCCAACAGATGCATTCATTAAAATCATTCCAAYGGTTCAAGACATATTTCGCTAATTCTATAGACAATTGAACACACACAGGCATACAARCATACAAAAACTACTTCAGCCTCTCTACTGCCAACACCACCAGTAGCTTTTCAAMTCAGTTCTTCACAGTTCCACTAAAATTAGGCCTGATGCATGGCATAACAAAGTGTTTGYTTTCTCTCACAATGGGAACTGTTGCATGAAATCCAGCTCAGATTAACCAAAAAATCCACTCTTTTCTCCCATCACTCAGCTCAGATATCAGCCTCCAGCATCACCTCAATAAAAAGTTACAGATTTTATACAACTAGGTAAACTCCACTCATGGTATTTACAGAACACACTGATGCCCGACTATTAAATATAATATCTCCTTGTTTAAAAACGGATGAGCATTCTTTTGCACAAGCTTTTTTACTATGATAGAAACATATTTTCACTAAAATGAACACATTTAAACAGATTTGCAGCTCAGTTTTCTGTAGTAAACTGACAGCAGGGCAGCCTCATCATTAGCAGGAGCTAATCCCACTGACCAGATGTAAACTGTTAACAGTTGGGTGAGATTGATATATGTCAGAATTTACCGGATTAAAACAAACAAAAAAAAAGCTTTTGTGAATGAAAAATCTGCAGAAAAACTTACATTTATTCATATCAGCATGTTTAGGCGTTTTATATTTCCTTTTTATTGCATGTCCAATTTAATTGGTGCTTATATGGTTTAAGTTATAGTTATAGAAGCCCTGTAATAATGAAAAAAGCTGCATTATGGTGTGTTAGCTCAAGATGATTAAATAAAACACAAATAACTTGCTTATTTAAAACAAGAGAAATCCATTCAGACTGACACCATGACTAAACCGCCTGGAACTACTGTCTTTAAGGCTTTTTCCTCTCTCAGATCATGTTGACTGCAGTTGTTTTCATCCCTGAGAAGACAGAGACTGATCTGAACCCAGGATATTTTTAATCTGCCAACAACAGCCGGCACCACAGATTCTCATGGGGCTGGTTGCCGGGGCACAAACTCAGCTGCTCCAGCACTCCACATCTGTTCACACAAGAAGTCCACGCACTTTTCCCACCGCGACCCATCGCTAACAAGCTGAGAAAATGAATAAATGCCTGCGGTCGGTTCATCAGAAACAAACAGAGCTAAGTTTGGCACAACGAAGCAGGGATGTACGAACCTTATGATCTGTGCTCTCCTCTTCGCTCTTCTGCACGCTTTCCGTTTTAGTCTCAGTGTCCTGGTTCCCGGCGTGGTTCTCTGCGTCAGTCCTGTCTGCGTGTGCAGGTGAATGATCTTCACTCTGCTCRGCGCTCCCCATGTCTCCATTTAGCTTCAGCTCAGCAGCCTCTGGCCTCACACTGTTATGACTCTCCTCCTCCTCTTCTTCTTCTTCTTCTTCCTCCTCTTCCTTTGGTTTCTCCTGATCCATCTGCACTAGCACCCCGTTAGCCGCCGGCTTCTTGGCATCCTGTGCCGTGGGCGTCGCCAGCCGCTTGTCCTGAACCCTGCTGGCCTCGGTCTTCTGGAAGACGCGTTGAGCTGCGCTGTAGTTTGAAGTTATGTTGATGTGTTTCGCCGGTGAGCTGTCTTTCTTGTTTTCTGTGCTGCTGGAGGAAGAGAGGGGGGAAATTAGAAAAAAATCAAAGGAGGAAGTGTGTATCTGACAAAAAACACACAAGCTTTTTAAAACAATGACTGCAGGGAGCAGGGTTCAGCCGGTAGCTGCTGGAGTCTGCATTTTGTCAGCGATTGTGAGGTGAAACAGCAAACGAGGTGCTTTTACGTGTGGGTGTAAGGGTTAAAAATAAAGCTGAGGGAGCGTACAAACATCTTGCTGTCCTGTGACGTTGCAGAGAGCTGCTGTAAGGCAGAGGAAGTACAAAAAAAACAGGGGTGCAGTAATAAAGAGGACAGAAGAAGTGCTCTCGATGTACAAGCTGTCCTACTTTAAGCTCATTCAGCTCTTAACTTTGCACCAAATGCTTTGCAGAAGATGAATTAAAGAGTGGCTCAACACAATAAACCAAAACACATAACCTCATAAATCTGCATCCTGTTCTCGCAGCTGTTCCCCCCACCCTGCGMCTGACTCACCTCCTGCGCTCCAAACAGCCGCCAGCGTTCGTCTGATCTCTGCTCTGACAACCTGACTGTTCTATATCTGCTGTTTCACTGCACCGATGAGACATTCATTGTTGCAGCGAGCGGCGCTGCTCGGCAGAAACAGGAAGCGCGTACAAATAAGAGGAACAACAGCAGCAGCAGCAGCAGGCTCATGAAGCTGCTCTACAGATGAATCAGTCCCCGGCTGCTGGCCACCTGAGCTTTATGAAGGTAATATGTTTTTACCTCTCAGTGGAAAAGCTGGAAAATATAAAAGAGCTTAAACGACTGTTAGGAGGCAGCGTTTAAAACGAGGGAAACCCCAAACAGACTCTAGAAGCAGACGCAGCAAAAGTTGGAGTTAGACTATATAAATGTGCTAAAATAAGCTGAACTAGAAGGAGCGGTTTCACTTCCAGCRCGACTATTTATGTGTCTTTAGGGCAGCCGAGCGCCGCGTAAATAAGATTATTCTATTAGTAGGCTAATTTAATCCGGCTCTCAGAGGCCTTTCTCCACTTTCGGTGGCTAGTAAACATTTCACAGCTCCGCGAGGTTTGAAAAAGAAACACAGAAAAACACAAGGCCGCAGCTTTGTTCCACTTTATTCGGATGTAAATAAAGTCTGAATCTGGTCAGATTTTGCAATTCTGCTTTTAGATTTTCAAACACCGGGAACAAAAAGGCGACAGACTTCAAGAGAAGAAGTGAAATTGTAGTGGGCTATGACGGCTGCACACTTCGACGAGATTCTGTGCCTCCCACCGCTTTTACTGGACCTCAGTCTAAAGCTACCACCTCAACTTGTTGCTGCCCATAAAAGGAAGATACACAGTTCTCAGGTTTCTAACACGGTGGGAATAGCATTTAATGCTGCGCTGGAACTGCACGAATCAACTCTCATAAAAGCAAAACCATCCTCTAATTCAATACACAACGATAAAACGAGACAATATTTAAAATGTTTCAGCTGAAAAGGTTTATCCGAAGCGATCCTACCTCCGCCTCCTGGGTTTAATCTATCAGCAGAAAATCTCCGACAACTGAATGAGAAGCAGCCTTTTGCCCCGACCGCACAAATCTCCCTTCATCTCCTCGTTAACGCTCAGCTCGACTAATCTGCACCATCTCCTCTCACTGCAGCTGTCAGCAGAGCTACAGCCGGCCAGCCAGGCCCGACTGAGGACGGGCTTCTGCTTTTCACGTGTCAAAGAACCAAAGTAGGAAACATTAGGAAATAAAAACGTTATTGTCTCTTTGATTACAACAGCCTCGCTGAGTGTTTTCTTGCCACATCCCTGTAGTTAAAATAGATGTTTGAAAAAAAAAACACAACAAACTTCTCTCACAGCAAACACTACTGTATGTTGATTGTTAATTGTGTGAATGTTGATTCAGAATTCAAGATATAGTAACAAATATATTTCCCATAGAAATACTTAAAGCTTTTGTCAGCTTTTGGATACCTTTCTGCTATGTTTGTTTTGCTATTTGAAATTTAAGCCTTTTCCTACTTTTAGCTATCCTTTAGCTGGTTTTAGCTCGCATTTACGTATTTTTTGCTAGCATTTGATGCTTTAAGCTGCTGTTTTAATTCTTTCAGATTTAAAATTTAAGTTTCAGTTTCCTCAGTAAATTATAGCAGCCATTAATTAGTCAGCACTCACAAAAATACTTACAAAAAAATTAGGGATGCACGATATGTCGGTGTGGATATTGGTATCAGCCGATACTGTATTGGCAATATTTTTTAGAATATCAGTATCGGTTTGATATGTAAAACTGGGCCGATATTAACGTCCGATATTGATGTCCCACTTTTTATCTTTGTGTTTCTGTTTTGGGAGGGGGGGGGGTGTTTGGTTGAGCAGCATCTGTTTGATCATGATGGTGATATTTGGTCTTTTATTTACGGTATCAAAAAACGACCCAAGTGTGTTTGTGTGTATATATATAATATAATTTTTGTGTTTGTGTAATATCGATAAATATTGGTTATCGGCCATAACAGCAATAATTATATCGGATATCGATATATATCGGCTGAAATTTTCATACTGGTGCATCCCTACAAAAAACTAAAAAAACATTCTTACTTTGAACTAAAAGAAGAAGGTAAAAACAACAAAAAACAAAAAAGCCAAATTTAGAGAAAATTAAGAATAACTACCTGTTCTCTTCAAAGCGGCTGATCAGGTCTGAAACTTTGTTTGTTTTGTCCCTCACCCTCTCCCGGGCCACAGGCCCCGGTTTTCCTCCTCTGTCCTCCATGCTGGATCTGAAAGGTGCTTTCCGTAAGGTGATCAGAGGAGACGAGACCTGCGACACGGGGCTCGTTAGGTGTGCTGGTTTTGGAGGCACTGAGGAGAAAAGAGAGTAATTATAT